AGCTAGGACGACTGCTGGGCGGGTTCGCCGAGAGCGATTGGCGCGCGCGATCGTTGATTTCATCCCGGGCGGTATCTCACTCCCCCATCTTCTGCGGTCGCACGTGAATTCTTCCCTGAAGAGACGCAACATCCAAAACGCGTTTCCCGGGACGCTATTCGGCCGGGTCCCCACACGACCACCCACGACCACTCTCGAAATGCAGCGAATCCGTGAGACGCGAACGGGCACGAGTTCTCCCGTTTCATTTTTTTTTTCCTCCTTTTCGTCCTTCACTCGACACGACATCTCCCCGGATCCTCATCTCGGGCTCGAGAAGCCGCGCTTGAATGACTAAATGGAATCGAAGTGAAATGGAACGACCGCCCGTGTGTCATTCACATTCGTGTGTCACGTCTCGCTTCTCGTGGCTCCCGAAAAGCCGGTCCAGAACGATGATTCCCGGCGACGAAATGCGACGGTGCCGATGACTTTCGTGACTTAAGCCTTTCTGGCTGTCATGCGGCCGTAATTATGCTAAGAGAACTGAATAACTGTGAATGACTTGGCAGCGATCGGACGAATGCGCGGGATAAACTGTCTCTATTACTGACACAGCATATATTATTATACACATGTGTATTATCATGCCGCATTAATGTATTCATGCGCGTATTCGCATAATCTGATATGAATCTATAATGACTTCTGATCAAAAGTAATATACATAGGTGTTAACAAATAGTAGATATTATCTGCATGAGTATGCATGTACGTAAAATGTGTTATATTTGAATAGCGTTTATTCTCAAAGTTATATATGTTGTGCAAATCCAATTTTTAAGCATTTAGGAATTTTGGCGAACAACGTTCAACGGTCGCATGTAACATTCGTGACATTTCGAACATTAGAAATTTTCCTCTCGAGAGCACCTTGATTCATCATTGATTTACATATGCATAAGTTATCTACGTAAGATATTCGGATGTTTCTTTTTTGTAGCAATTTGTGAGAGGGTTAATAGTTCGTGTAGGGTGTTCCTCCGTCGTCTTTTCGGCCATTACCCCGTGGCATCTCCTCTCGCGCATCTCTGATTACGTACGGAGCTGTGCGTCCGGAAGCAAAATCGAAGAAAACGATACCACGCCGGGGTGGTATAATGCTTTCCGTGGCACAGCCCCCGGCGTCCTTTCTCACACTCTCTCTTTCTAACGGAACAGAACGTGGTGCAGCGCGTCGGAGCGCGCCGGATCCCGACTGACCTGTGGAAGAGTTGGAAAGGAAACTTGCCTCTAATTATCCTGTTGGGGCCATATAGTAGCCCGCGTGAGTGCACGCGTGCGCTGCGCCTCGTACGTGCGTGCGCGCGCGCGCGCGCGCGTGAGTGCATGCATGCGTGAGTGCGTGCGCGCGTATACGAGTAACGCTGACGCGCGATCGAGAGGAGGACCGGACTTCAAGGAGAAGGGCGGCTCCGACGGCAACAGAATATATTATAGACTCGTTCCTTTCGACTTGCGCCGCGCCAGGCTGAAATCTCGCTCTGGGTTTCGTGTTAACTTAAGTGTCCCTGAAACGGACTTTGTGGGAGAGCGCGGCGCGCGTATGCCGCACGCACGCGGTCGCCTCTTCTTCTAGTTGACCTCTTAACGGTCAATCTCTTCTTCCTTTTTTTTACGTGCTTCATCCGGAAATGGATTATGGATTATTATGAATTATTTTGGGCTGCTCTTAGGGGATGAGCAAATGGGCACATTGCGAAGCCAGAGCAAGTTACAAAACCATAGCAACAACGTAGATAGGAATTTGCGAAAAAGCGATGCAGCAATTATACGCGAAATTACTTAGAATATCGAAATTAAAATTTCAGTAAATTGACTAATATTAATAAATATATAATAATAAGACTATTTATTTATGTTTATTTTTCATATTTTATTAGAAAATAAAAATAAAGATAGAAAAATTTATTAAATGAGAGTTAATATAAATAACAAATTCCATTTTACAATAAGAGATTTTAAGTGTCGAAACTTATATGTTAGAAAATCATATTAAGTCAAATTTGATGATAAAAGCTGAATTATTTCGATCTCCTGGAATAACGATATATATGCATAATGAGTTTCATCCTTGAACTTTAAATCCAATTTGAAACAGTCTGAAGAGACTTGCCGCACAACAACGAGGACCAGTTAGTAGTTGTTTTTGGCGAGACCGGCCAAACGGATCTGGATTTGTCATCGGTTAATTCACCATTGAGACAGCTCGCGTCCTTTTAACTTGTTGCACCGGTAAGACAGGCCCACGATCGGATGCCGCGCGTATGTCCTTTTGAATTTTAGTTATTGTTACTCTCCGGGTTTACGCCGTTTACGGTTCGTCCAGATAGATAAGAAGATAAGGAAATATGAGGGCAGAGCACAGTTCAAAAATGCTTGCTTAAAAAATCTGCCTTTTGATTTATTAAATCTGAATTACTAATAATAAAACACATTTAACAAATTTAAAAAATTTATATGTGTGTGAAAAAATCCCCAGAGTCACAGAGCCAGAAGTACTAAATCTAATATAACTCATTATTAATCCACATCGTAAGAATTCGAATATGTATGTACAATTAATATATTTAAAAATCCAGATACATTTCTGTAGTAATTAAAATAGTTTTATTTTTTAAAGCATTTTTATGGTTTGCGGCACCAGATGCTAGATTGACACATTGAATTTTGCAAGTCATTTGTGGTAAATCTTTAATGCTAATTCAGTCGTTTTGCGGTCTCGAAAATCGTATGGCAGCGCCAAAAGGGCGATGGAGAAATTACTATTATACCCATATATTACTTACTCAGGGACTATAGGAACACTGTCAGAAATAATTGAGACCAACTCTTATCTGTGCTATGAAATTGTCAACTAATTTGGCAAAGGATCATGATTCTTTTAATTTTTTTATTTTTGTAATTTACTTTGTAGATAATAGAAAAGAGTAAAAGCGATAACATACTTACTATGTATATTGATTTTCTCTTCTGTTAGATCATTCATTGAATAGGAAATTTTAAAGTATATTATTATATTTGCATTTTTAATTTAATATTACTTCCGTCATTATCCAAGCTTTCTTGTTAGACATTAGAAAATCAATATACGCATTACAGTGACATGGCATTTTTTAAAATGCTATAGTTTTAGGAAATTTATGACAGGTATTAAATAAGTCCACTTTTATAGCCGTTTCTCATTAATTAATTTGTATCCGCAGGTGCAGAATTGGAAATTTATTCATAAATTACCAATTTATAACCACGAAAATGACGAAAACAAAAAATTTCTTGCACCTGCAGAATTGGATATAAGTAATTACACGTAATTTATAGGAATACGGGATGCACTTAAGATAATAATACACGCACAATTTTGTCACGAATTCAAACAACCGTTGCAATCTTTTCGCAATAACATGTACTTTACGAGACTTACTAAAATTAGAAATATGATGAATACATCAAAAAATGCAAAATGCGCGATCTATATAATGCCTATTCGTGATTGATTCTGACTGATTGATTCACACTTTTTTCTGTCTGCCCCCTCCCTTTTCTACTCTTTTATCACTTTTAGGATTACAATTAAGTTTATTTAAAATGTTTTATTTCAGTTAAGTAAACAATTATAAATATTCTGCAAATGAAAATTTCTTTTCAAATATTATGTAATATGGAGTTGGAATTAGGGTATCTTGATAAATAATAATTCCAAAAAATTATTCGTAACGTCATTCATTATATTTAACAAATCGTCGTTAATCTTATTACAATGTTTTTCTATTTACAAGAAGGCACTGCCGATCGCGAAACGTCGTCGATCGATTCGCTCCGGGCGAGTACACAAATTTGCTCGATTGTGTTTGATTCATTCGTTCTCCTTTCATACATAATTTACGGCTCAATGTACAAATAATTAGTGCTGTCAATAGTCAGGTATATGGGCATTATGGATGTTACTTGGACATCTTTATATTAACTCCAGGATACCAGGTTTATTTCAAATGATTAAGAAACAAATATTAAACAACGTAATTATGTCTCGATCGCGTCTATTGTATTATACGTTTACATCTTGAAAAAAGATGATCCATGAAAGATACGCTCAATCAGAGAATAATATTATAGTCTAACAAATGTAAAAAATGTATAGCATTACTCCCTGAATTTTTTCTTATAGCTATTCAATTCCTAAAACATATAAATGTATGTATATAAAATATATGATCTTAAATGTAATGTCATAATATATATATCGCTTTAATTATTACCAATTAATGTGTGATTGGGACACATCAAATGAATGTCTATACATAGAGAAAAAAATAGGAACTGGTTAGCAAGATATCAAAATTCTGTCAAAAAATAATGTAACTTAATATAATGTATACGAATACACATGTAATTTCTTTGAATTCGAGTAATGGATAGGTACTCGGTATAATGATTACTCGATTCATACTAACAGCACTGTAAATAATTATTACAATAATAATACAACAGCATAATTATAATTATATATAATAATGTAAATATAATAGTACATAAGTATGTAATGCAGTCATTAAAAAAATGATTAAATAGTTGTGTAACGAGTAACGTCCGAAATATCCGGATATTTGAATATTGACAGCACTTATATTCGGTGACACAGTGATTCCATAGAATCGCTACAGATTTTATAGAATAACTGTGCGAATTAATCACTTTAACATATATATACATATATGTATATAATTATTAATATTGTGTATAATAATATAATGTAATACAATATATAATACAATATAATATATAAATGTAAATGTAATACATATAATATAATATATAATATATATAAAACTATTCTTATAATTATATTTTAATATTTACAATAATAATCATGATGCCAGTCGACGAGTCTCATTTAAAGAACGACCTCAAATTATTATTAGTGAAATATTTACTAAAATTTTGAATTACATAATTTTAGGGAAACATCTCATATTATAAATTTAGTTCTATGGAATCGCTTCCAGCTATTAAATGAAATCATGTGACTTTTTGTACAAGTCGACATTTCATATTTCGTATGTAAGAATATTAAGATTAAATAAAAACTGAATGCATTCGGACATTTCTTTGAACATACTTTTTATGAGCATATTTAATGTTATGCTTAAAATATTTTTTACCGCGATAAAAAATAATTTGAGGACGTTAAAATGGGTGAGCCATCCTGAATAAATAATTATGTAGGCGCGCCCTACCTTATATTTACTTTTGGATGATGAAATACGAGAAAATGTCTTTGCCGTAATAAATTACGAAATAGAAAGATAACATAATTAGAAATTGCAATGCATTTGTCATGTACTTTCGAAATATCACTTCTAATTGTACGCTTCAAAATTGTTCTATATCAATACGACACATAATTTTAGAGATAATATTTTCAAAATTTCTCTTGCATTAAAATAGAAAAGGATAATTACGTGTTATACGTAGGTTAGACGGCAAAGTGTAAAGTAATATGACTAGATTATAGTTAATGCAACAGCCGCTTTCTTCGTTTACCTTTATTTCCCCTGTTTGCATCGTTTTTGACCTACGCGTGCCTTTGCATTTGGTCATTGCTGTAACAGAAAACGGGAGGGATTTTATTAGATAAGCGTATTTAATGTTATTAATATGTGAGACAATTTTTATTTGAGCAAAAAATTTGAAGGAAAAACATTTTTTTTCCTTCAAACTTTTTGCTAAAATACATATATATATATATATATATATATATATATATATATATTAGACGTTATATACAAAGCTTTACGCGAATGATGCGACCCAAAGACGACATTCAATGCTTGCGCTTTCAGTATGATATCGATTCGTCCGAATAGATCGCGGGTTTTTCGTTGGTAGAGGATGATAAAAAAGAAGCCCAGCAGGTATACGAGATGGAAGAAGCAGGGGATGATTTCAGGTAAGGGCGGTTTTACTGCAAAGGAGTTCCTGCACGCTCTTCGTGGGCAAAAGCGAGAGAAAAAGTGGAAAGGAGCGGGGAAGAGAGAGAGAACGTACCGGTTCAAAAACCGACAAACGAGGGACGGGAATATCTTGAAAGATGCATTCAGGTTAAACGCGGCAGACGAAATCGTCTTCGTGAAAAAGAGAGGTGGAACGGGAGGTGGATAAAGAAAGATGGGGGACAGGAGAAAAGTGAGAGACGAGGATAAGGGAAGATATACACACACATATAGAACGTGACGAGAGATCCGAAAGTTACGTCCGTCAAGATTAGAGCAAGCTGAACGCGAGCATCGAAAGACAATCCAATTTTTTTCTGTTATCCACGATTCATCAAGATTTTTTAATTAGAAAAAGGATCTACGAAGAGTCTGTCTTGAAGAAAATTCTTATAAAAAGTATTTGGTATAAGTTTAGCATTACTTAGGATTATCGTATTCCCTTCCCCTTCTCACATATTTTTATTTTAAACTTACTACATTTAATAATTTCTATTTGAACAATACTATAATCTCCGATGTGAGAAATTGAGACAATCTCTATGTTATGTCATTTTTATTAAACGTCGACGTTTGCGAGCTTACTTTATACAATGTACATATCCAACCGAAAAAAGGTGTTCCCCGATGATCGGATCGACCGACTTGGAAACGCCGCTGAAGGACGAGGGGCGGGGTGGAGTCGGGGAAAAAACGGTAGAAGAGGGACCGACACTCACGCACACATATATGTGCATTAACGTACCGTGAAAGAAATCGCGGTACAAAAGCGTCGCTCTTCGAATGTATACGCGGTGCCCCTCTGAATGGAGTCTGCGATTTGAATGGTTTCAGCGAGGGTTCGTGCGCGCCATTGTGAGGGGGCAAGGTCACAAATTTACTCGGAAATTTCTTTAAGCTTCCCGGTAACGTAGCGAGATATATATTCCCCCGTGGACGGAATACCAGTTTGTCAACTGGTGAGGGTGGCAAGCACGAAAAAAATTATTTTTTGAGAAATCGCGATCGAATATCATTGTGTCAATGACATTAATTCATCAATAATTAATACTTGGACCATTTGTTTTTTTTAAGTAAAGGTTATAATAATAACGTTATTTGAAAATTTTTATGTGAAGACACTCATCCTCAGAAAATTACAAATAAAAACATGCTGATTGAAAATTGCAATAAAATTATTACGTTTGGTGGAACGTCACAAGGTTCACAATCAACTAAGTCACTCAAAGAATTTGAGTAAGATGACATAAGACTAACATTCACAATTACGACACGCGCAACTCTTTAAGGTCACTAGACCTTGCAACGTGAATGACCCGCAAGTTACAACTACAAGAGAAAAACGTCAGATCACGACACCAACCTTTAGAAGGACGCAGAGGCCCAGCGGAACTGACATCGACATCCTCACTGACTCTGCTGCCACCAGGAGATGACGTCTAGCAACTCCTCGTCCTCCGGACTCATCGGCTCGTAATTGTCGTAACTGTCGGAATGCGTCGTGTAAAGCGTGCCAGGCGTGCCATAACCTTGACTTCCGGCCGACGAGGTTTCGGAGACGAAGCTTGGCGTTGGTGAGCTCGATGCCTCCGAGCATGTCGTCGGAACAAAAGTCGTCGGACTTGGGTTCTGCCTGAGGTGTTGATGTCGGAGATCAGATCCATGTGGACTGCCATGATGCCGAATCTCCCCGGTGATGCTACCTCGTAGTCTTAGTTCCGCCGAATGATTAGAGTCGTTTTCGGGCGAGTTGGAGGACGTTGAAGAAGTGGGCGAGGACTCACTGGACTCAGAGCCACCGTCGTGCTCTTCCAGAAGACGTTGAAGACTCCTAATATATTCCACCGCCATCCTCAAGGTCTCCACTTTGGACAATTTCTTGCTGCCAGCTCTGGACCCTCCATGAGTCCCAGCAGTACTACTTCCCAGTGCCTGCGCCACTGTCTGTGGTATGTGTTGTCTCAGAGTGGCAAACCCGTTGTTCACCTGTTTCACCCTGTTACGCTCACGCGCATTTCGCCTAGCTACCGAGGCGGGCTGATGCGGCACTGTGCCATAAGGCCCAGTTGCTTGGCCGTAGAGCTTGGATCGCTTGCATCCGTGTTGTAGAGTACTGCTGTTGGTTGGCATACTGTTGGTGGAGACGATCACGTTGCCGCGATGGGTCTGCGCGCTCGAAGTGGCGTGAAGACCGTGGTGGTGATGCTGCTGCTGCACACTTAGCATGATGGGCAGAATGCTCTCCTCCTTGGGCCCCACTAAGGTCATATCACGGATCCGAATCCCCCCACTACCCGGGAGCAGAAATTGTAGCAGCGCGTGCCAGGCGACCTTCGTGCGACGTACACTGCTCCGACGTATATATCGAAGAGAAACTTCGTCGAGGTGAGGCCGATGTAACTCGTTAACACCTCGTAGTACGCGCGATCGTAAAGGTGAGAAAAACAGACGAAAGCGTGCGTTTTACTCGACCGACCGAAAAGAAAAGCGTGGGAAGAAAAATTAAACCGCACCCTCGATGCTCTCGGTACGATTCTGGCTCCCGAAATGCTTAGCCAATGAGGGTTCGGGGTCTTATATAGCCGGGACGGGCACGCGCCTATCCCCACGCGCACTCGCGATCTCGGGTCCTAAACCCCCATCTTCTCCCCTACCCCCCGTTTTACCGGCCCGCAGCGCCTCATACCCCCGTGATTCCCCACTACTGCGGTCCCAAAGGCCCTACGCTGCCCGAGATTCTCATCTTCGATCGTCCTTATACTAGTGCGCCGACTACTATCCCGATCTGTTTACCGATTTACCTTTTGGAGCATGCCGCCTTGTTATCAATATGATAGGTCTTATCGTCGGCGTGTGTCGTCAAAGTAGTTGACAGATTGATAAGCTAACGTTAATGCTAGAGAAAGATAAATTGAAAGATGTAGCTTATATACTCTTTTTTTTTTATTGCGTTTGTATGTGACTAAACTTTCGTATAAATTAATTATATTTCATTCTTATTCAAATTTTTCTTTATAGCTAAAAAAAAATGTGCACTAAAATTTTACTTGAAAATACATATTTTGCAAAAAAATGAATAATTTGCTTTATGATAAAAAATACTGATAACAAATTTACAGTTAGAATAATATTATTTGGAAAAAGTAGAAGAAAGTATGAAAGGAAAGCGATAGAATAAAAATTTTGATACCATAATTATTATTTTAAGAAACATTTCTGGAAGTTGCCTATAAATAAGAATTCGCAATTTACGCAAATTTTATTTATAAAGAAAGTCATTTTTTCGATCAATAGCTTAAATACAATAAGGCCCAATGGCCACAATCGTGTTTTGCAATTCTTGTGTGAGAGACACTGGCGCGCACATATGAAGGGTCCACATCCCCACCGGTCTCCCGGTGTCTCGGGGATCGAAATTTGAACAGTTACCGGGAGAAAGAAAAGAGCTGGTCCGGGGGCCCCGGCAAGTCGACTGAGCGAGATGGCAAGAAAGCGAAGTGTAGAACATACGACGAGGACAGAAGCCGCAGAAGAAGAAGAAGAATGATGAGGAACAAGGAGTGGGAGGAGATGGAGAGGTCTGCGGCTGTAGAGAAGCTGTGCAGAAGACGAAGAGGTATCGGAGGAGGGTAAGGGAGCCCGGTGGCACGGAACATACGAGTACCCGAGACGACTGCAACAGTGGGGAGAAGCAGCGGCAGAAGAGTATAGCGATGGGCACGACTGCGGCACGTGTCTTCGTCGTATATAGCACATAGTTTAACAAGCGCATTGCAAAACGTCGGAAAAGAATCAGGGACATTAAACAAATTTTAACCTATTAATATGTCGTTAATTCATAATTGAATTAAAAATGTGTATAAAAATAGCTGTACTTCAATATTTTACTCTGAAGAGAAAAGTCCTTTTTCTTCACGGAACATTGAGAACCGTGAAAGAGGTAGAGCAGTTGATGCATAGGGTACAAAAATGTATAGTCTTTAGAAAATTTTCTCATTTTCGATGTACCAAGTCTGAAGAAATGGAACCAATAATATCGCGCTCACTGCCGTCACTAGTAAAGAAGACATGTATGACGATAAAGGGGAAGGGGAAGAGACGCGAGCCGTCCTCCCTTCCTCACATTCGTGGCGCGCGCCTACTCCCATCCACCGGCTTCTCCCTCTCTCCATTCGTCCGGTTTTATCCTCACCGAACGTGGAGCGTGCGTCTGCATGCGTGCGTGCATGCGTGTATATGAGGGCGCACGCGTTCTTGCCCGGGCCTCGTGCTTAAGGGCGTTTGTGTGGGGGATGTGCGTGCGCGCATACACGCGTAAGGAGTCGCGTTTCTGTACGCGTACGCGCCTGTGCGTGTGCGTGCTCGCGCGTGGAACAGGTATGCTCTCCTCGTTTCTTTTTTTTCTCCCTTTCGATTCTGGCGGTTCTTCCCGTCTCTCTTCGCGGGTCTGTCTTTCTTCTTGTCGAAAAGGCGACGCGTGAGGGAGCGTTATAGGGCGGTAGGGTCTCGCTGGACATTCCTACGTGAATAAATAAACGTCAGGCGGACGCTCGACGGTTTAGATAGATAATAGATGCGCGCTTTGAAGCTTTCGATAAGGATGTACTGCAGGAGCGCAAAAGAAATAGCACGTCTTGAGTAGCGCTGCAAAATGTGGACGTTCAAGCGCGAATGAGTGAGATATTAACAAAAGTAGATTCAAGATTTAATACAATATCAGAGCTGCAAAGTTTACGTTAATTTAAATTTTACATTTTATTGCTTTTATTGAATTTGAACTGGTTTTTGAATATCAAAAGCACATTTCTTTCATAGCGCGGATTGTATGAGTGACATTCGCGTTATATTAAATATTGTACAAATATTCATTACATATATAATTAGCGCATAATAAATTGCTACGTATTTAACTATGTGTATGATCAATACAAATATTCACGAATGTTATTTAATCTGAAAAACAGAAAGGAATTTGAAAGAGCTAAAGTGCGCGCGGCGGTGTCAAAGAGGAACCGGAGTGATCGTATATATAAAAGAATGGACCGCGGGGCGGAGATTTTTTTGAGCTGGAAAGAGAGAGAGAAAGGGAAGGGAGAACGAAAGTAAATTCGTGATAGCCTTAAACCACCGAATTAGAATTTATTCCGTAATTATATTCCTTGGGGCCTCTCTCGATTCTCTCTCGCCAAACACTTCGCCGCTAATTACCATGGAATTAATTACCGTGTCGAGTGGTGAGATGGACGATGCCACGTTTCGTGCTCTCCCAAGTCAACCCTTGCAAGGTACGTCGACTCCGACTGCAACTGCGATCCGAAACGCGCGCTGCAATCGTCTACGCGCCTCGGGCGCGGTCTTAGATGTTAGATCGTTCGGATCATTGTCCCGCGCGATCATAGAGATTAGGGGGCTTTCTGGTTGGCCGGATGAAGTATGGACCGTGGATGCGCTATGCAGTTGTTACAATTTTTCTCAGCCCTTTTGTTCTCCACGTCATTTTCACGACGGAGGCGTTTAGAGCAGTTTAGTTCTATAATACGTTGTTGTAATAATACACTGGTGCTGATTTGTGTCGATTACACGTTACCATAAACAGTTTAACAAGTATCTAAGTATAAATGATAATAATAATTGTAGTTTGTTCCTACATTTTTAATGCTCTCTGACGTGAAATACTTTTTGCGTATATATAAATACGTATATGTATATCCTATATTATATATACGTACATCAATACGAACACGTTATTTTTGGATATTGTGAAATTAATCACTTGCGTAAAGTGCTTTATTCAAATCACGTCGCGCACAAAGAGAATTTTTCTAGAGCCCTAATTAACTGCAGACCGCTTTATAGCGGCGACAAGGTCGATAATGATCGTCCTCGAAAAATTGCGTTCATCATAAAGCAAAATGCATCGTCATCAAGATCATTTATAATAATAAAGACATCGAGTAACGAATCTCATCGTGGATATGTGATAGCCTGTGCTTTTATTTTCTTACAAATCTCAAAGTGTCGCGCATAAATGTAACATTGAATTTAAGTGCAACAGTTTATGTTGTAATTATAATGGCTAATTGATTTTGAATAAGTTTATGATTTTAATTGAAATTATTTGGCTTTTAATTAATTATACTCACGAAACGTCGCGTTTCTTACTGCAGCAATAAACTTAACATCGTAATCAAATTGATCGTAAAAAAAAATAGATTTGACATGTAGGTACAACACAGGTTGATCACGAAAATTCGTGTTTTCACGTGTCGTCAAGTCGACACCGGCTCGCATATGTAATGTACAAATACTTCAATGTTCTGGAATGGGCAGAGAGAGTCGGGGAGGGCAGTTCGAGGGAGAGAATTTACTCATGCATACGTCTATTTTGTGAAGGGTCATGTGGGGCTGCCGAACAGAATATAATCGGCGACACATATGGCACGCAAACGTATGTAGGCAGTGCGTATTGGTGCGTGAGCCAACGTACCTAACATATGTCGCAGCAGGTTGGCCGGATACCGACATTGTTGATTAATTCATTCGTATTAGTATCTCGAAGATTTTTTAAGCCTTTAACAAGCATGGAGATTGAAAAATTCTACATGACCGTTAAAAAGATTGTGCGATAGCTAAAAAATTACAATCAGTTAATCGTCGAATCCGTTAAATGTTAACAGTTAATTGATTATAAATGCGCGTTGTATGAAAAAGGACTGTAATATTTAATTATTAGTTTATTTGGCAAATTTCTTGACGAGCAGTACCTAATTATAAATAATTTATAAGACCTATACGAAAAGAGGAATCGGCCAGTGTGTAAAGAAGCTACATGATCGTATCGAGGTATATTAAGTGCTCGAATAAACGGTGCGCGTTATTAAGATGGCGCCAATTACCGTCGAGAAGAGCATATGCACTTATCATGCCGTAATTAAACTGCCCTTTGCATCCAAGAACGCGTGTGCATTAATGGACGACACGCACTTTGTTCGAGAGATGCGTAAAAATTTTTGACAAGGAGGTACTTATCGGAGTTTATCTTTCCAACTCATCCTTCCTGAAGTCCCATCTCGAGCGGAGAGGAAAAAAGGACGTGCGGCGAGTTTCGCGACGAATTAATTTGTATAAGATGAAATGCCACCCGCATGAGTGTTCATGAGTATGTATATGCTTTTATCAAAATATGGCGAATAAAGAAAATACATATTAATAAGTTTATAGAATAACAATATTTTAGCGACGTATTTTCTGCAACGTGATACGCATGTTGTTACATTATAAAATTAACTTCTAAGATGAAAAGACGCGGTATGTTAATACACGTGCAGAGTCATTGCATACTCATACGCATATACATATATACGTGATGATGAAAATTCAGAGTTTTGATTTATTAAATTATTAATATTTTTCACATTAATATTTTTGTTTCTCATCTTCTTTTGCTAGCCTTGATTCCGGAATTTCACGCTTATCTCTGCGGGTGATTCCCGAGGTCAACCGAGAGTTGTCCCATCGGTCTTCGCCGATCGAAGGGTTGGAACTCT